CCCCACCTCCACCATCTCCATCACCACCCCTTCCTCCTCAAAAGCCTCCTAATTCTTACCTACCTCCACCGCCACCTTCACCGTCACCATCTCCTCCATCGTATCCTCTTCAAAAACCTCGTAATTCTTATCTGCCTCCGCCTCCTCCTAGTTATCAACCACCCCCACCCTCACCACCTTCCAACTCTTATTTACCACCCCCACCGCAGCCTGCAACGGATTATCAGCCACCGTCCCGGCAGTGAGGCAGCCTCCAGCCAGCCCTGACCTCGACAGCACAAGGTGTACGAAGTGGCAGACGCGTATACTAACAGTAATTCTTCTGTGTGGCAGAATTAGAATGTAAGACACGCACAGACAATTACATTATATTAATTACGATTTGAAATATTTCATACTTTTGGTTTATAAATCACAATTGCAGCAAAATTTCAATGACGGTAACTGATAATCACACGTCAGTACTGAAGCCTCATATCAGCCACCAGAAGGAATGTTGTGTGTGACCGAGGCTCACACGTCTCTGTTTAAATTCAGTTCTTTATTATTAGTGTGCTGCACTTACAGTCAGATGGCATGGCACAATCGTCATTTGCGAGATAAGTGTCGTTAAGAATTTAGAAACTCGTACGTTGTTACAACTAATGGTTCATCGCGAGCTACGCCTTTCACTCCCAGCATCACATAACTTACGCGTCTTTGTATCCATTCCATAGACATGCTGAAGGAAGTGACTGAAATGTGAACAGCAGCAGCGATTACCAGCCCCAGATAGGAAGCCAAATCAGCGCAGCATTTTATATTTATACTTTATAAGCAAATCGGATCACAAAAACACTTAATTTATTCACAAAGGTTTAAAATTATTCACTGCCGGTTAGGCGGTCGCCCAGAGCAAAATTGGTGAGCAGCGAAAAGCTGAATAAATAAATAAAAAGATAAATAGCAAAGAACAGAATACAATAAGTATCTACAGCAGAAAGTGAAGACAAAAATAATAAATATATATCAGTTTTCGCCTTGCAAAATGCCGCCAACATTACTTGTATCGTATACAAATGGTTGACGTGTGAGCAGGCTACAAATTTCGTGACAAGCAAATTGGCCCGCCACCTTCATTCATTTAGACGTCGTTGTTAGTTACACGTCTGACTGTGCTAATAGGTTTTCCTTGGCGTTTGATCAGTTATTTTAACTTTGTATTTGTGTAAAGTGTAGAACAATGACAATGTACATTCACTATTATATTACTCTACTTCATGTAAAATAAATCTGGAATTATAAATGCAGAATCTTTATTGAAACTAATGAAAAATATTTATTTTCCCAGGTAAATTTTGGAGATTCTGTTTACTTTTTTTATTTTCTAAATGTATTTTTCCTATTCCCTATTATATGTTCCAATTATGTATGTTTATTGCCATTGTGTATTTGATGTTGCAAAGTTAGGTACACGCCACTGCTGATTCATAAAATGTTTTTCTTATACTTCGTGAAATGCACAATACTAAGGAATTCTATGTAGTAGAATCCTGTTTTAAAAGCTGAGTAACTCGGCTGCTTTGAGATATTCCTCGAATGTTATTAAAACCAAAGGTTTATTTCCATCCTCAGAAAAGCTCGCCAGTTTAATCGAATCCAAACCCTATTTGTTAGAACACCTTATTTAACACGAAAATGGCTCTCTTCTGGGTTATAGCGCCGTGTACTCTGATAGAAGTTTACCGCCCTGATGATGGAGGCAGCAAGTACCTCCGAAACGTTTGTAAACTTCTACCGGATTACACGGCGCTAAAAACCAGAAGACACTCACAGCCGTCAGAAAATCAAATCCTGTAGCTTATTCTACACGTTCGCAACTCCGCCCCCTTAATCTAGTGGTGATGCTAACTTTGTAACCTGCCTTGCCGACAAACTTAACATGGGCCATACCGATATCAACCAAAAACAAATCCAACCCACAACTTCAAGCGCAGATTCGCAATATGAAATGTGACAAGAAAAAGGCAATGGATGCAGCAAATGGAAAGGCTGTACTTTAGTCCTGGAGATGATTCTCCGAAACGAATTATCCACGAATCTGCATGACATGACAACACAGACGATTGTCGCACTCCATCCTCCTGTTTCTTTCACTTTACTGTGCAACAGGCTGACAAATTCGCTGTGGCGACGTCGATAAGCGCGATAGAATGTTCACCAGCCGCTGAAGAGGACCCAAGAACAACAAAGAAAATGATGGCTGAATGGGAAAGACTGTGTCAGAATCAGAATGGCTGACCTGCTGACACGGCGCGACCCAAATTCTGCTGCGCCATTGGTGAAATGAGCCGACATAAAAAGTGCGAGTCGTGTGAACTAGGACACTGCCATCACAGGGCCGTGAAAAACATCGACCCCTGGCCACAGGTGTCATTCAGACGTGATCCAAAATTTTAACACATTCTGAGGTGAAAACTGGTAACTGTTTAATGTCACGTCCTCACCCTTCATTGGCTCATTTGTTACTTCTGTGACTCCAAGATCTTAATATATACTTCAGGCAACAACTGCATATTTTTGGATGATATGTACAACACAAAATTTTAAGTGCTGCTAGTATTACACCCATATCGGAATTCCACATGGCTGTTGCGTTCATATAAAAAATTGCCTGTGAAAACGGGGTGTCCTCAATGGCATAACACACCAAATTTTATGAAAATCTACCAATTGTTCAGGCGTCATTACAGGGTCCACAATGCTAGAATCATCTTGCATTTCCCTAGAGATCACAAAGAGAGTCCATAATCTAGAATCAAATAATGCGATGTCGATTTTCGGATTGCCGTAATTTTCTACTGAACGTGAGAATGCACAGTATCGTGCCAATACGAATACGCCTATTACAAGTTTCTTCATATCATAATATATTTAACGACGTCTTCTCAAATGTATAGGTTAGCGTCGAATGGAATGGTCGTGAGTAATTAATTCGGAATGATAGGAAAAGAAGCAGTCCGGCTTGTTTTAAGGTACAAACAGAATATATCTGGAAGGGCTCTGTAAAACCACAATAATTGTCTTTACAGCCGGCCAAGGACTTCCCGAATGCGAAGAAGGAACTGTTGCTTCTTAATCTGACGTTCGGTCGTACAAACATAATCAAAATCCCTTCATTTTAAGTACGTCATGTAAAAGGTAAAATAAACAGTATTCGACAAAGTGCATTCGTTGGTCACAATGGCCGCAGGAAGTTTACACAGCCTTGATTTAGACAATACAACTTGATTCTCGCGGAAACAAAGATACGGTTTCGTTACGAATGAGAATGATGTTCTAAACATGTGGTGGGGAGATAGAACATTTTCAGTCTTAAATGGAGCGCAGCTGTAAGGTACAGAATAATTGTTCCTGTCGTGGTACTGATGTTGTTCAGTAGTGACATGGGGAGCACGCAGAGAAGAATGGCTCAGTGGGTAAGAATTCTTGTTAACATTTTATTGCATTATTTGTACATGGATTTTGTGTGATTTATTTTAATGATAGGGTACATACACGTTGCTGTTATTATTTAATCTGAATAAACGAATGTGAAGGGATAAATTTGCGTCCTCTTAGAAGAACTATTGTAACCATAACTGAAATTCTGACATAAATACTGCTTTGTGTTTCCTGATACACATATTTACTGTTGCACCTAGAACATGTTATCTGAAAGTTGAGTAAATGACAGTCAAATTTCAGTTTACTCCTTGAGAACACCAGTCAGACTTTGGGATATTGTGTCCTATTTAATAACTAATAATGATACCGTTATATATTTTCATATATCCACAAACTACATTTAATTTTCTCATGAAGCATGTGTCCAGTGATTAAAATTAATTACCTGTCCCTGCTCTAGTACAAAATCACATTTCTATGGAACATTCAATATCCGCTTCTCATATTTCAGGTAGTAACTGGCATATTATTTCAGTTATTTAGAAGTGGAAATCAATTCCCATCTCCATCCACTAAGAAACTTGACAATAAGGTGTTCGGAAGATTAAAGAATTTTGAACTGGACAACAAAATTGGGTCATCAGGCTTCAGTAAATTTGAATACCCAAAAGAAGATACAACTCATGGAGTTGGTTATGGAGTGAGTGTATCTTAAATTAATTACCTAAAGCAGGTTGGAAACATTGTGTGTAAAACTCCACTAAATACCAATATTTATCGAATATTTAACTGAAAGAAACCAAATTAACTCTCAGATTATGTTCAATGATACCATCAACGGAATAACTTTCTATGTTTCAGCATCACCTTCATCCATTTTACTACCAAGGATTGGCTCCCTTATACTCATGTGCCATACAGGGTAAGTCTGTATTCCTCCTCAACAATCTTGAAGTAACAGCAGTAGTTTGGTTTAATTATATTAGTAAGCAACTCTCGGTTTACGAACGTTCGATTTACGAATATTCGCTATAACGAACGTCACAATTCCTTCAAAATTTCTTAAAGTCGCCAATAGATAGAGTTTCTTATAAAGTTGAATACATATGTATATACACATATTATGTTCGTACTCATTTTCTTTATTTCTATTTTGTAACTCTTTATGTTTCTAATTAAAATTAACAAGTAAGATATCTTGTTTTATTAATCTTTTCTTATTTTATTTTACGTTATGTATCGTACACGATAAACCACAACGCATACATACATTACAATAAAACGTATTGTATAGACCATTCGACATGGTTTTAATGCTTTAAAATGGCTGCTAACGTATACGATACGTATCATAAAAGCAAAGAAATTCAAGATAAACGTAACGAACAACGTCTTGGAACGGAACTCGTTCGTAAACAGAGAGTTGGGTATCTTAGATTTACTAAATTTTAATCGAATAACCCCTTCTCATACTTGTCTTCCCAAATAAAAGGCATACCACTATGTATGTAAATGTTATTAAATCAGATTTTTCAGAGTTGTCTAAAGAGGTCACAACATTTTAAAGATTTACCAATGAAATCATTTTCTTTACATTAATTCATTTCAGGAGAATGGTATCCTATTGCACAACATGCACACCACAGCAATACAATTCAAAACCATGACAGAAGTGCGTCTGAACTGAATGAAGGAGTCAATTATAATCCATTCATATACAGTACTGATTATATAAACAGCGAGAATTCTAATGGTAGAAAAACGGTCATGCCTGAAAACCATTTAAAATACTTTGTACA